TATTTGTGTCCGTTCCTAGAAACTCTTCGGCTACGAGATGGCAGAGTTTAAAGTCACCATCAAATTCCTGTGGAATTCTGAGACGGGAGACTTCCAGAAGCTTGTGGGAGACACAAGGGAGGAGGAAGACGAGGATGACGATGATGATGATGATGACAGCAATGAGGACTAGCCACAGTCCTTGCGCTTGGACAGCACAGTTCTATTTTACAGACAAAAAGAGGAGGATGTTTCCCTTCCCTGTTTGCACCTGGAGGACAAGGACGATCAGCTCAAATACGTTCTTCATAAAAGATGACCTAATTAGGCTTTTTTTAATATAAATCTATATATAAAACTCCAGATGGTTGTCGCTGCTGCCTGTTACTCTTTGAGTACCCCGGGATCTGAGGAAATGCCACCTCAAACATGAAAGCTAGGCAGAAAGCATGTAAGCATAACCCAACTTAGACGTAGCAGACGTGAACACCAGGGAAGATGCCGAGGGTCTGTGCCTGTCTTCTGCCACAGAAGCAGCTATTTAGCTCGAAGTCACCGAGCGCTGATAAGGAGATGCCTGCCAGGTTAGAGATACAGTTAAGAGAGAGGGTCTGCGTTAGGAAAAGGTTTTATTCTTGTATGTAATTATTAAAGATATTGTATTAAAGCAGAACTGGGGCCTTCACCCAGCTACGTGTCCATTTTCCCCGATCAACTGCATCTTTAAATCGTAGTGTGCGCTGCGTAGAGCTGAAGGTCCACGAAGGGAGAAAGATTAAGGCATGGCCCAACATGACAAGTGCTGACGGTGGTAGTGGATCCTACAAAGCTTCATTAATACAGGAAAAATCTCAACCCATTTGCATGTCGATCGAGGGGCAGGGTGGGTAAGCACCTCTCCTGTGCTTCGAGAGACTTGTGCTCGATTATTCACCCCCACGACACCCACTTTCTTATCCCTACCCTAGTTTCTAGCGGAAATAGTTGGGGCAGTCATGCGCGGTCAGGTTCCAGGCTTTATCAAACGCCTCCACGACAGGCGGGAGCAGGGGACCCTCTTCACTGTAGTCAAGGTTCTGCTCTAGCTGCTCCAAGGTGGACATCCCAATGATCACTGCGTCTCCAAGAGAGCCCTGCAAAACAATAAGAGGTGTTGCTGATCCCAAAAGAAACCTAATTCACCCCCCAAGGCACTGCAGGCCAAACTTGAGATGTTTCTTTCCAGTAACTCCCAGATATTTAGACAACTGACACAGGGAAGTTCTGTTCACAAGGCCGGAACATCTCTGCCAAATACTTCTTTACCAGGGGCCACAGGAACATTTTGGGGAAATGGGGATTATAACCATTAATTTCTTAGTCCCATGAAAAGCCAAGTCATCTCCTTGCAGGAAAGCTGTCTGGGTGGGAAGCCAAGACCCCAGTAATTGGCACTTAAAATCTTGCACTTCTTCCAGTCCTATGAACATAGGATGCCGTGGGGAAATGCAGAGCTGACTCGCTCCTACAGCCTGGCAGGTGGAGTCCCTATAGCAATATTCACTTTGGAACGCCAGAAGCCCAGGGGATATGCAGATTAAAAGATAACCGTTTGTACGCAGACATTGCCCTGTTTGTGTGCTGCAACTGCTGCCCAGTTCCGGTGGTGCTGTGCAGGCTGCCAGCTACAGCCACGTCAAGCTCTTACCTGCAGCTTAGAGTGATTGTACAACCAACGCAAAGCAGCGGAGGTCAGGCTCGGGGCACTGGAGCCGTAAGCATCTTTCAGAGCTCTTTCTACGAGGGCAATTCCTTCAAAATTGTGTTTTTTCCAGTACCTGCAAGAAGAGAAATCACTGTCATACCCCTTGGGACCTCCAGTGAGTCATACATCTATATTCCAATCACATACAAAAGGCTTTCAGAAAGCCTTACACAGCTCTTTGTAGCCTCTGAGGACTTCTGCAATCCTTCTCATAAACTGGGAGGAAGCAGAGCCTAAAAAAACCACTCTGCAAAGCTCAGTCACAAGCTGCAGCCCCAATCACATGTGCAGACATAATCACTGCGCAAACAGGTCAATTCTGCTTCCTCTCAGCCGATCATTAGCGTGTTTTTTTTATGCAGCCATTCCTGCCACATCTCCCTGCTCGTCTATCAGTTCAAAGCGTACCTGTCCCTGTAGGCTTGAGCCCAGTCATTCCCAAAAAATCTTCCAGTGGGCTGGCGTGTGTCTTTGTCCTCATACTTGTACTTGCCGGTCAACAGCCCTCCTGCAAAGGGTCAGCAGCACGTTTAGGGATGGGCTGGCTCTACTACAGTCCCCATTTCGCATGTTTGTGTCTCAAAGTCTCATCCTTTCCCTCCCCGTACCTGCAAGCGGATTGTAGGCGTAGAACCGCAGTCCGTAGTATCTCAGGCAAGGGAACAGCTCAGCTTCCACCTGGCGAGTGGTTGCATTGTACATACCCTGCACAAAGAGACAAAGAACTTCAAACGCTACCTCACAACAGTGAGCATGAGCACCTGGAACAGCCTTTTCCCCACCCTTCCCTGACAATACTCTTACGCAGAAGAGCGGCTTTGGGTCACACAAGGTTATTATCTGCTTAGGAACAGACTTTCTCAAGGATTGCAACTAACACAAAAAATTTTTAAGTTCCACATCAAGGGAGTCGCTGACTCAAGCAACAAATGCATACTCAGCTTTTTCCGAGACGTGACCTCACTCAGGTTTCTAATTTTCCCAGGCTAACTGCAGCAGCTTCCTTTTTAGTGTTTGTATCTGGCACGCTGGGGGCTGGTCTGAGATCTGCGGGTCCCAGACCCTTCCCCCCAGTGACTGACCATTGCTGTAAGGACACAGAGAACCACCTGTACGCTGTTCTGATCTGAACCCTCGTATTCTTTTGGTTTGATTCATCTCAGCCTCCAAAGTTTTGCTGGACCATGGCAAGCCCCCATCCCTCACCTGGTACACAGTTGGCATCACCCACTTGTTGTATTTGCAGATGGTGCAGATTTCTGCGACCTCCCATGCTGCGTAGTTTGATAGACCAAGTTCTTTAAACTTTCCCTGCAGAGGAATAAAAGGGTATTCAGTTCTAGGTTTTAACCAGTGCATTTGTATCTAGACAGTGGAAGATGCATACAGTGAAAAGGACAGTCACCAAATTTTAATCCAGAGTTCTCTGCTCAGCCCTGTCCACCTTTTCTAGACAGACTATGAATTATAAGTCCTGACAAAAGTATTTCCCATTTTCTGTTCATTTTGAATTCACATCTTCTAATTTAAACAGCACTATTAGACTAACGCAATTCAGGAATTCTTCTTCAACCATTAGCAGCGCTAATCTTAACCTAGTCAGTTAACATGGCTGAAAGCAAAGTTCAGATGTTCTAACGTTTCCAAGAGCTTTTGAGAACAAAGTGCACCACGCGAACACGCAACAGAGCGTCAGTTGTTTGACTTCGCCCTGGTCATCTGTGTCCCCTCTTCCTTCTGTTGCACAAACCCAGCGCTGCAGAAGGGCACAAGCAGCAGCCCTGGTTTAAAAAAGGTGGTGGGAGGGAGGGAATCAAGACATGGGCCAGGCTTGGACTTCCCACTTTACTTCTTTGTGCAGCTCATTGCAGGCACGCAGCGTCTCTTCCACTGGGGTCCCGTGGTCAGGAGCGTGGAGGTAGAAGAGCTCCACACTCGTCCTCTTCAGCCTCTCCAGGGACGTGTCCAGCTGCGATCGCACACTCTCAGGCTTCAGCGTCTTCCCATCCCAGGGGTTGGCCTTGGTGGCGACTTCCACTGGCAGAGAAAGAAAGAATGAGCAGGGACGTTTCTACTTTCAGGAAGGCAATGGGGATAAGGGGCATAACGCAAGCGTTGCTTGAGGTATTTCAGGGAAGGCCCCTCTCCTCAGGAACCATGTCAGCCTAGCAGGGGAGGCTCTTCGTAGGGACTGCAGGTCTGCCCTAGAAAGGGTGGCCATTCTCCTCAAGGCCTGGGGGTCAGCACTAGCAGGGGAGTCCCTTCCCCTCAGGGAGGGTATCAGCCGGGCAGGGCAAACCCTTCTCCTCAGGGAACAGGCCCGGGGGAAAGCTGCTCTCCTCAGGGGTGGTATCAACCGAGCAGGGAAAACCCTCCTCTTCAGGGAAGAGGCCCAGGGGAAGTCCCTTCTCCCCAGGGACGCTGTCAGCCTGGCAGAGCAGACCCTTCTC